GTTTTTAAACATTGCCAGTTTGATTAGGGTGTCAATAAAAATTGAATCTTTGCTTGATTCTGATGGCTCAGTCTAATTCTAAGCCACCTATGAGTCACAATTTTGGTGTGGGAGCTTCTCATGTGAGGTCTTTATCTCAACCAAGCAATTTTTTGAATAATTGTTTGCCCCCTTTGAGCCCTTTACCTCCTAGCGAGTCGTCGATGATGTCCGCTAATGCTAATTTGAAGGACGCATCCATGGAGGAAGTAGATGTGAATTGTCAAGTTCCAAAAGTTGTGTCTAACTTTGCAAGGGAAAATGTGTTTCGGGGTAGTGATGGTCTTCCTCCTCGGAAAGGACATCGCCGATCTAATAGTGATGTTCCGTTAGGATTCTCGGCTATGATTCAGTCTTCGCCTCAGTTGATGCCCATAAGTGGGCAGAGAATTTCAGGGAGAGCAGTGAATCTTGGGGATATCTCGGGGAGGGAAAAAACAATTGATTTGCAGAAACAGCCAATGGGTTTGAGTAGTAACGGAAGGATCGATGTAGAGGGAATTGGTGAGAGGAAATCGAGGGGAGAGGTTACGGATGAGTTGTTGTTTTCCTACATGAATTTGGAAAATATAGAGGCATTGAACTCTTCTGGCACCAAGGATAGAGATAAGGGCAGCATGGTCAGTTGCACAAAGGTAAGCGGTAATGAGAGCAGCAACAATGAAGCAGAAAGTCTTTTGAAAAGGAACGGAGTTAGCAGCCAACCGACAAGTTTAAGGGAAGGGATCAAGAGGAGTGCCGATGCAGATATTGCTCCAACCACGCGTCACTTTAGGAGTCTTTCCATGGATAGTGCTATCGGAAGTTTTCACTATGGTGACGAGTCACCAAAATTACCAACTTATCTGGTAAACCATTCCGGTCAGCTTTCACCTAGTAATTCAGGAAATGAAAGTTCGAGTCAGCGCAATTTTGACTTTGGAAATACTGAATTTAGTGAAGCTGAGATGAAGAAGATTATGGCAGATGAAAGACTTGCTGAGATTGCAGTTTCAGATCCAAAGCGTGCCAAAAGGTATGGAGATTAGCTGCTAAAAGATTCTTGTATATATTTGTATCCCTTTAAAAAGCCCAACTTTTGGTTATCCATAATATCGGAAAAAAGAGGGGGTCATGTATGCAAATCTTACTTGAAAGTTTCTTTCCTCAGGATATTGGCTAATCGTCAATCTGCTGCTCGATCCAAGGAGCGTAAATTGCGTTACATCTCAGAATTGGAATATAAGGTTCAAAAGCTACAGACAGAAGCCACTACTTTATCCACACAAGTTACCATCCTGCAGGTGCCTATAGAAAATGTTGTGGTTTTCCTTCAACGCTTCTTTTCTGATTTCAGTTTTTTTTATTGGATTTTCATGTACTTGGTACAGAAAGATTTTACTGAGCTCTCGAACCTGAACAGTGAGCTGAAATTCCGCGTTCAAGCCATGGAACAACAGGCACAACTTAGAGATGGTATTACCTTTCCGCTTTCATTTTCTTTTGGTTTCTAAGTATCTAGTGTGTTGCAAAAAGGTATCTAGTGTGTTACAATTGGAAAGCGACCGAAATGAAATGTTTCACAGTATAAATGTTTATAAGTTAAAATATACTTTAATGAGTATTTTCTGAAAGTTGTCATTAAAGACAACAATTTTTTGGAGATTTTGCAAAATTTTGTGGAAAGCTTTCCAATTTTTATTGGTTTCTTGTTTCCTTTTCTGTAGTTTGAAAGGATATAATCTCCATCAAGTACATTCTAAGAGTATCAACTTAATTTCCTAGATTGTTTTAGACGTTGGTGGCCTCCATCTGCCTTGAACTTAACTGAAGTTTATTCGATTAATGCATTTGCAGTATTCTTTCAAGATAAGAAGTTCTATGCTGATAATTTTCATTTAATTTTGGCAAAATGAATTTATCTGCATAGAACCTCTTATCAAAAGAGGGGGAATACCTCCTTTGTATTTTGCTTGCATCCTCCCGATGTGATAATATCCTTACTTTGTCTAAAAAAAACTATTTTACTTTTGTAATATGTTTGGTGTGACAATTACCTCTTAAAAATAAAATCATAAAACTTGAAGAAGTTTAAAAATATTTGGGTGTTCACTGAAAACAGCTGGATAAGTAGTTTTATAGAAACAAAAAATTGCCATTTAAGTTTTGTCGAAAGAAAAGGTTGCCAGTTAACCTGATTTGAACTTCATGGCTCTAGCCTTCTGCATATTGTTTTTGTTGCTATTGTTTGAAGAAAATGGGAGGAAGGAGATTTTAATGGTGTTCGTGAGCTCATAATTGAGTAGATGGGTTTTATGAAGTACTTCTATGTGAGACAGAAAACAGAGGAGAAGAGATTAGTATGAGAAAAGCCTTTCAGGATAATTGAAAAGTAAGTAGGCGACGCAAATTCGATTATGTAAAGTTTAAATGGCAGATGGATGGGGCACGTACACAAACGAGGAGTTACTAACCACAATACGAACTCAATGTTATATGAAATTGATGCACAATCAATCACTATTTAATCACTTTTGTTTGGTTGGTTGGAAATTTTAAAAATGTATGTGCTGCGAAAATTTCAATTTTCCTCTCTGAGAACCAACCCAAAAACTGAATCAGTGAACCTAAATATTTAATGTAGTCGTTTCAGTAGGATTAATTTGATTCTAACCAATAATAAACAGGCCTACTCAGAAAATCATGATTTTCTTTAACAGTGTACCCCAACATCAGCATCTTTCCATTGATAAGTCCCCCAACTTCAACATTACCAACTGTTATCTCACTGAAAGTGAAGTAAGATGTTCCAGCTGAACCGTTTGTGTTTGTTTTTGATAGTTTTCTCTTCAACACTATCGGTTTTATTATGCTTCCCAGTTCTGTTGCATGTCATCTCTTTCCTCATGGATATGTGACTGTCACTAGGCTGTACTCCATACATATTTTTTTTTCTTATTTGGTTTACTAAGTTAATTAGGGTGGAGTTTTCTCTTAAAAGTTGCAATTTTTGTATCAAATAATTCCTTTATGAAAGCTCTGAAGGCTAAGGCATTTGAAAATTAAATTTTCCAGAGAGCAAGTTTGTCTATGTTTGTTTGATTACTTTAGAATAAGTTTATGGTAATTTTAAGGTAGTACAAGTTATATTGTTCTAGTCGTGCCTGCTTTGTATCAACCATGGACAAAGTCACAAGCACACATTGTACCTGACATTGTAGATGTATTGTATATGTGGAACTATGTGAATGTATTTTTGATGTACCGACCTGCAAAGATGGACATTTGTAACTTTAGCTTTCCTGCTGCAGCTCTGCATGAGGCGTTAACTTCAGAAGTCCAGCGCTTAAAGCTTGCAGCAGGGGAACTTAGGGAGGAAGGCCGGTTACCTAATGGCATGACACAACAAATGCCAGTGAAGCATAATATGTTCCCGATGCAGCGACAGCAGCCTAGTCAAATCCAACAATTATCCGTTGGAAAACAAACCACTGCATCATCGGCTTCAGCCACACCTGCATCCGCCTAGTGGGCGAATACAGACAATTGAGGAGGTGAAGATCGTCTTTCAAATGAAACCAAAAAGTTCGTTACCTATTACTGGTCTCTCATGCTATGCACAGTGCTGAGAACCTGAGTTTTAGATAGTATTTATACAAGGGTTTTTACACATTTCTGGTACAATCCTTATTCTCTATGTTTTAAACATTATTTTGTTCATTGAAAATGACTATGACAATAAATTGGAGTCAAACTTTGAGGCAATATTTTCTCCTATACCGTTCTCTAGTTCCAAGGAAATTGAGGGCTGACTATCTTAGTTTAGTCTCAGTTCCTCTGGATTTCTACTACTACTGCAAGTCTGCAACCTATTGTTCAGTCTGCTTAGTGCATGTTGCATTTTCCAACTTTCTTAAGCGTGTGTTGCACGTTATACGATTGGAATCTGTGGATGATACTTTGGTAAGTTTGGAACACAATATACTTGGATTGATCCCCAGCTGTTGCTGAGCTCTTACAATGTACAAGTCTTTATCTGGTGGTCTTCTTTCTTACTCTGCACTTGCAAAGTATAAGACCATATCTCCTCTCACAAAAAAAGTAGTAGTTCAAGTTTAAAGTTAGTTTAACCCCATTTGACTAAAGGAGGCTAAATGAAACAAGGAAAAAGAAAAGTAGTAAGAGGTGGAGACAAGGAAATGCACCAAAAGTAATGTTGTCTAATGTAATGAAACTTCCTTTGTTGTTTAATGCTTTTAGTAATCTAAAAAAAAGTACAATGATGACCTGCCTTCATATCTTAGAAATTAGAGTTTAAATTTCAGTAGAGATAATATTAAATATTTTTTTAAAAACCTACCTAACTTCGTAGACAAGATTGCTTGATACTTGTATTTGTACGAGATAAAAAATGCTCCATGGAATGGTAGAATTGTATATATACTAGGCTAGACACCATTGTCATATAATTTAAACTACAAACATGGTATACGCAATATCTATGGTTTTCTACGGTCAACATGAGATCAACAATAACAACATCCCACTACAATTAACATGAGATTGCAACTTGAAATCGCCATATACAATTGAAAACCTATAGTCATAGGATCACTGCTACTTAATTAAGCATATAAAAAAAGAAAAAAGAAAAATTATAGTGGGAGGTGCAAGAGAAAAATCCAAAAAGAGCAACTAGTTAATGACCAAAGAGTCCAAAAAAAGGGCATATGCCCTCCACCCGATTGGGAAACGAATCAAAATTCTCCGGTGGACAAAACCCTTAAACCCTACACAAATGTCGCGAATTCTTACTTTATAAAATAAAAAATATCTATCCGACAGCGACCACTAAACCGAGCATAACGTACATATTGTAAAGTAGTTTCTTCTGATTTTTCAAATTCTAAAATTAAAAATCACACTGCATTGAGTCAAGTTAAATAAGCAAACTGAAAAAAGAAAAACAAAAGAAAAAGCAAAGCACTATAATTATCCATTCCACCAATCCGTATATCTACTTTCGACCCACAAATTTAATAAAAAGCCTCATATTCTCGGAATACACAAAACAAATTAAATCTCCTTTTAATAGCGTTATTTTGTAGGGTTTCTGATGTTTACTTTCTGAAACTACTACTATCACTTTGTTTTGCTTATAAACATTTTGCCGCCGATTCCTTTAAAACCTCCGTCTATTCGCCGATCACCGGCGAATTTGTTGTGTTGAGGTTACGTTTCAGTTCGATCTACGTTTTTTTTTGAATTTTTTCGACCGTTGAGTGAGTTCGCCTGAGATGTCGGAGGTAGAGGCAGAGAAGACGGTGGAGGAAGAGGTGGTGAAGGGTGGTGAGCTGCTGTTTTGTGGATGTACTAGTTGGGATGCCGTTGGTCGCCGGAAAGTGCAGGAAGGAAATTTGATTTCTCCGACGAGACTTCGACCGCTTGTTGGTGTCAACATTTGTTTCGTTGCCTCTGGCTGCGGTATATTATATTCTTTTTTGCTTTTTTCCCTTAAAAAATGATTTTTGCTTAGTTGTATTGCTACACTTGCATTTTGTTTTTTGGTCTTTTTAGTTTGCTTAGTGAAACTGGTTAAAATGTAGTGGAATGCATGTTGAGGATTCATATAGTCGACCTGATTAGTTTGGATTAAGTCAAAGTTACTGTTTTTAGTGATTCTGCTATTATTCTTTTTCATTTTTTCCTTTAATTGTTGGTGGGAATGCAGCTTCTTGTCATTGTGTAGCACTAGATACTGAAGGACGTTGCTATACATGGGGAAGGAATGAGGCAAGTTGTTTTGTCTGTTTATCTTTGTCTGTTTATGCTGCTTTTGTTACTGTAATGTGAAGTATTGTGGTTTTGCAGAAAGGGCAGCTTGGTCATGGAGATAAAATTACACGTGATAGACCAACTGTTGTTTCTGAACTCGCCAAGTAAGTTGTTCTTGGCTTGTATCTTCCTTCAATGGCAGATATAGCTGACTTTTTTTGAAATATTTACTAAGTTCAAACCCGTTACTACAATGGAGTATTGGTTGCAGTCGTATAAGGTACCTTGTGGATAAAAACCCTATATATGTCCTATTTTCCCCTGCTTATAGTTCTTTGGTTTTCTCAAAACCCTAAATTTGCCCTATCCCCCCCCCCCCCCC